CGCCAAGCAGCCAACAGTCTTTTCCGTGTACTATAAATATTCATGTTTCCACGTATTTCATAAAAGCTGTAAGCTTTTTAGGGGCAATATCAGGTTGTGTTATTTTTGATTCCTTAGTTGTTGGCTCTGAGGCCAGCAATGTGACACATAGTCCATTAGCCAGGCAAACTATCGCTCCAACAGTGTGGAAACAGCTTCTCGGCTGGGCAGAATTCAAAGCCAGTATCGTTAAATTTGGAGAGAAGGTATTGCCTCTCACTGTTCCTGATAGCAATCCGATTAATGCTGGAACCACTTAATTTGTTCAGGGGGTTGCCAAGGGCTTAGGGAAAGTCTGGGCAGTGTCTTTGGGTTTGAAAAGCCAGCAGCAATTTCTGGAATGACAGAACTCCAATTTCCTTATTTGGCTGTTGGAAAAGTCACTACACCCCTGTTTCTTAGACAAATGGAGAGGTTTGAAGGATAGTATGCTATGTTCCTTCTTACCTGCCTTTCTCAGACCTATGACCTTATCTGACTTGTTGGATATGGTCCTTAGCTTAACTAACCAGAGGCTGATCGGAAGACCGTGAGTCCTGGTTTGCTCGCGGGGCGTTTCAGATTTATTAGTGGGATTATGGGCTGCCGGCAAGAGTTCTCAAGCCACTTTTTCTTCTTCCTCTCGCTTCACCCTTTGGTCTCATCACCCCTCCTTCCTTCCCCCCACTTCATAGCACAAATAGCACACATTCCTTAGTTTCAAATCTTGGTTCCACTCCTCACAAAGAACCCAGTCTTTCAGTTCCCTTGTCTCTAGAACAAAGACAGTAAGAAGCCCTGTGGATGTCAACAGAATTTGATGCATCGTTCTGTGCAAGGCACTTGTATAGTACGGCATGAAGGGGCTGGAGAGGTCTGCCCAAGGTTGTTCCTTATTCACGAGTGAGGGACTCTCTTCCCTACTGCTGTTCTTAGCCACCAGCCTATCTGGAGAAATTTCTTTACCTGACTTTGCCCAGAGGTCTTAACTCTTTCCCAAGATCAGCCTACAGCCAATGACTGACCACACCAGGAGTACACAGACACCCTGCCTCAGTGTCCTCCCCTCTTTTTGGGGGGTACAGTTGTTGAACCAAGAGCTCTTCCTGACAAGTTGATTTCGGTCTCAGAAAGTTTCAGCAAGCCCTATCTCTGACACCAACACCGAAGGTGTTCACCACACCGTCAGCCTGTGCATGGTAGGCAGGCACACGGTGCTGGCACTCTGGACCATGCTTTAACACCTGTGTGGCGGGTGTCTCATGGTGGAAGTTGCTGCTTTGGCTTCACCACACAGAGCTCTCTCTCCTCAGGAGTGTTGTTACTGGGTTGGGAGAGATGCTTAGGAGTCTAGGGAGCTGACAGGGAGAGAAGTTCTCAGTTGAACCTTTCTCCTGCTGGAGGCAATGGACACTCCGAGAAGAAGATAGGACGCGGTGCTCACTCCTCTGTATGATTTACAAGGGACAACTTTTTTCCTCCTTGGAGAAGAAAGGCCTCGAAGCTTCGAGAGTCCTGGCCTTGAGTCATAGGTTCCTCATGGTTTTCTTCTCCTGGACTTCAGGTTTCTGACTCTTCAGCTGGGAAACCACAGAAAGTTAATTTTTCATCTTCCAAATCGATTCAGAAGGTCTTCTGAAATGAATCCCCCTCTCTAGCCAAGCAGCCAGCAACACTAGGTTCCAAAGACTTCCTAGGCCTCGAGAAACTGCCTCTCTGAATCAACCATTGGGGGCGGGGTGGGGTGGCAGAGCTCAGCCACAAGATGTGGTTTAGACACCAGCATTCACCTGTGGGTGACCTTGTGAGTACCTTGCATGCTCCTCTGAGCAATGTCCCCTCCTCCTGCCCATCCTCCAGGGCCCAGCTTGGGGCTTTCAGGAGGAATTCTTTCTGAGCTGAGACACTCCGTGCCTGTGTTAGCTGTGAAGGGGTGATGAGCAGAGTCCCTGTGGAAGTGGACAGATTTTTACCCTCTCTTTTTTAGCGAACAAGAAGGTCTGCAGGTCGGAACATTCTCAACTTCTGAAGGGGTACCTTGGGTGATGGGGGAGGAAACCTTCAGAGCCAGGCTGGTGAGTGGGGCAGGGTAGAGCGTGGGGTGGGTTAGGCAAAGTCCCGTCAGCTACCGTTAGTTTGTTTACACACCATGATTCAGGCTCTATATTCAGAGGGCCCAGTTTTTCCAGAGAAGCCAAAAAAATCCAAGTGCTTTTATATTTATTGTTTTAAACGAACTATGCTTTAAAAAATAGTGCCTATAAATTCAAAAATTTTAACAGGCGCTGAGGGCCAAACCAAGTACTTCTGGGTACAAGGCATATGGCGACGCATCTGTGGTCTCTGATTCCCAGAAGAAACCTGTTTCCCTGACTGCCCTTTGACCCTTCATAGCCACAGATGCTACAACAGCTTCCAATACCTCCTGTAAAGACAATGTTCATTTGCATGCGCTTCAGTGTCCCCCAGCGTTATCATGCCTAAACCACAACAGGAATGCAAAGCTGGGGAAGCCTATTTTCACGATCAGAAGCCCTGCGTGTCTGCTTGCAAAATCAGCGCCGTTTCCTCTAGGTGGTCACTGGAACCTCTCAAAAGTGAGACAGAAATAAAGGGTGGGGATTGTCCGAGGCCTTTACCTGTCCCCTTTGGAGCCTCCAGGGGAGGGAGGCTGGACAGCTGGTACTGCCTGTCTACACCTCACCCTGCAAGTTCCTCTCCTTGGCAGCGGAGGCATGGTATTCCGCCCTTGTTTCCAGGTAAGCCATCGAACCAGAACGTGAATTGTTTGAATTTGGTCCTGCCCATCTTTATCACAGAGCTTCCAGGAGCTTCCTTAGAGGAGATGCTTACTGAAGGGTGGTCAGATGCAATTGAGTTACATGGCTCTCCCCAGACTTGATCAGCTCACGCATCTTACACCCTTCTTAAGAGGTCTGGATGTCTACCTGGGGCCTACTTTAGGCTCTCTTCCTCCAGAATGTGTAAAGTCCCTGTTTCTGTCCCTCTGGTCACTGTTACTGCCCCTCTGGGAGTTAGTAGTCAGTATTTAGACGGGTCTTAAGATACGTTTATTGAAGTCAATAGTCACTTAGCTCCTATGCTTCTATTTTGAACTTATATCCTGAGTTTTTAACCATGGCATGAAGAATTTGGAGACAAGGTGTCTTTCAGTTTTATTTTGATTTTTTTTTTTTTTCAGAGACAGGGTTTCTCTGTGTAACAGTCCTGGCAATTCTGGAACTCATTTTGTAGATCAGGCTGGCCTCAAACCCACTGAGATCTGCCTGCCTCTGCCTCCCAAGTGCCGGGCAGTTTGAAACTTTTGTAGAAGGACCTAATACTAATCATGAATATTGGGCCCAGCCAAGGAAACAACTGAGGTTCGATTCCTGTGCCAACCTGGAGGAAGAGGTATCTTTTCATTTCCAGTTGAAGAAGAGGAATTTCCTTTAGATGTTCCAATTGCTCACAGTTTGCCTGGTCGGACTGTATGCATTATCTCTCTGCCTGACACAGTGCCTGCGCACGGAAGATGCTCAGTGCGTCTGTTGACCGAGGCTATTCACCTGGGTGGGCACCTGCTGGGAGCCCATTGATGCTTGAGGCTTCTCTGTGGTTGAGCTCTCCAGGCCGACGGAACAGATTAGTGTGCAGGACTTCAGCACTGTGCCTGCCCAGGTTCGCCCAAAGTTAACTCTCCACTAAGTGGGCTGGCTCCCCTTAACGTCCTCAATATTTTATAGAGTATCATCCTAACACACTCGGGAACTATGCTTTCCTGGGATAGAGGCCAGGACTTTCAAGGCCAAGGCCTTACACATAACTGGAGTCCAGGCGGATAACCCAGGGCAAAGTCACACCCAGAGGGAGATGTGAGGACAAATTATTTCCCGTGGCCAGTACTGAACTTTGGCTGTAGCTCAGACCTGGCTGCAGGGAGCTGAGGTCCTAACCCTTTTCTGCTCTTGTTCCAAATTCTCACACTGCCTAGAGAGAGCCTGGTATGGGCGGAAAACCATTAGAGGCCCTATTTGGTATCTTCTGGTGAGGAATGGGCTCAGGGAACCAGCAGGGGTGAAAGAAGCAGACCCCGCAGAGATCCACACCTGCCAGGGGAGCCAGGGTAAAGTGAACAGCTGGCCCCAGGGTTACACTGTGTTTACCTCCAGTACGTTCCTGGGCTGGAAATTCTCTCACGAAGGAGAGAATTAGTCTCACTTACGTTACTTCCAGTGAAGATAATTACCTCAGATGCGCCCCTCCACGGGCAGCACCGTACAGTCTGCAGCCCATATTGTCGGCTCATCCTCCCCCCCCCCCCCCCGCCCGACATGCTTTGAGGAGACTGGATATTTGGGAAGCAGTGTCAGCTCGGCTTTGTCACTCTGCGCATCTCTCTGCTCAGCGCTACTTGGGCACACCGACCCAAGCCTGCTTGCTGTAAGCTTTCCATGCAGCAAGTCCTCACCGGTGTCTGCATAACCCTCAACCTAAGGCCCTGTTCCGAAGTCATTTCCCCGCGACGTCACCTCAGAGCTCTCGGAGATGAAAGTCCTCCTACCTCTGTGATCAGCTGCAGCTCCCTCTGTGCGGTTCACTTGGCTCTGATCACCTTCCACCTGGCCGGTCTGCTGTGTTACTGTCCTGTTTTCATTACGAGGTATCCGTTACTCCGGAAGAGGGCCATGCTTGGTTCCTGTCTACATCCACAGTAGTCAGCAGGAGCTCAACGCATGCAAGCATTTCTTTGGACTAATATGAACTAGGAACAATTTTGCCTAGCTGTGCAGTTAAGGCAAATCTCTTCTGTGATGCATTTGTGGTGGTTCTAGCTGGTGTGCGATCAGGGCCTGGGAAGGGCGGGAAGTATCCTGCCTTCGGTGTCATAATGGCTCGTTTCATAGGTAGAAATAACACCAATACAGATGGCGATGATTCCTCCAACACGCAGGGCAATAGCAATAAAAGCAGGATCATACCTTGATATTGTCCTCTGGCCAGGAGTTCAGCATGGTTGCAAGGTGGCCCTTGTCATGAATGGTGATGAACAGCCCACTAGGAAACAGAAGCATGCACACAAAGAGAAGCCAGGCAGTCAGTATGGAAACGAAGCAAAGACCTTGAGCACCAGCATCAACTGCATTGCCCACTTTTGCCCCCAGCCACGCGGAAGATGGATTTTGTCTCAATGCTCTGGAGGGTCCTGGTGTCTTTCCCAATCGCTTCTCTCCATAGAATCAGGAGTGCGCAGGTCAAGGGCATGCCTGCCTGGAGTCATCTTCTCTAGAGAATGCATCTTCTCTTCTTTTTTCTCTACATCCGGTACCAGAATCCCCTGACTCACTAGCCCCACAACTACTTTAGCCGCGATGGGTCTGCTCTCCAGGTACTTGCTTCAGAGCACAGACCACATGGCCAGGACCAGAAATTGGACATGTGGGTTGGGATGTTCAGATATGTGTGCACCAGGCTCTGAGATGTAGCTGGGAAGGGAAGCGGGGGAGGGGTGCTTATGAAATATTTTTCTCTGTCTGCATGGGAGTCAATACCAAATTTAGACTTAGCCTTCCAGTCCAGCAGAGGGCGCAGTTGCAAATGTAAGCTAATAGAGCATGCTATGCTTCATAGCTTGCTACTTAGAATGTTTAATACAGACTTCAAAGGCGTGGATATGAATCTTCTGTTTTAGGGCTAGAGATGAGAGAATGTGTACATTTGCAAGTTCCCTCCTCGCTCTTTCTCACATTAGTAGATAACCTGTAAAATTTACACACTCAAGTCTTTATCATTTTAGAAGTGCAACAAGGTTTCCTGGCTTCTGGGAGTGACATAGGATAACCCTTCTGAAGACAATTATTATAAAGTCACTCATATATAAACAATTTATATTACCGCTACGCTATGAAATATGTGTTTTTGGTTTACAGCCAAATGGTGCTAGAAGCGGCAAGAGCATCTGCCTTTGAAAGCAGGAGCTATTCTTTGCAGCTTTCTGCCTGGATGCAAGCCTATCTCAAACGACTCAGAACAACAGAAGGCCGACTTACAGAAGGCCCGAGAACAGGGTTGGGGTTAGGAAGAGCAGCTGGGCAGTGCAGGGGAAATCGGAAAGGAAGAAACTTCAGGGACCCTCAAGTCTGGGTATAAAAAGCCCTGCCGTTGGATGGCTGTGAGTAGCAGGGGCACTGACACAATTGGTTGTAGCAAGAAGCCCAAAGAACTGAGCAGAGGCCTCAGTTTTGGGCAGACGGAGCTTGGAATTTGAATTCAGTTTAGTTAACTCTCTTAGAACAAAGCATAATCCAGCATCTATAGAAGACAGGATACCAGGGGAGATATCCATTATAATGACGTGCTTATATCATTTATGCTTAGGTTTTCAAGATAAAATGTGTGTGTGTGTGTGTGTGTGTGTGTGTGTGTGTGTGTGTGATGTCCTCACACACATGCCTGTCACCCATGCATGTGAAAGTCAGAGGTTGAAATCGTGAATTTTCTACCTTATTTTTTTTGAGACAGTGTTTGGCTGAGCTGGGTGACCGGCAAGCCCCAGAGCTAGCCTTGCCTATTCCTCCCTATTGCTAGGATAGCAGCTGTGCATTGCTGCCCTCAGCTTGTTTTAAATGTAGGTGTTGGGTATCACACTGGGGCCCTCACGTGTTCATGGAAAGAGCTGTTTCCCACTGAGCTATGTCTGCAGCCCCCATAAAGAGTCCTGAACGCCATCCATTTTCAGAACGATTCTTCCTTCTCTCTTCTATCACTAAACTGAAAACAAACAACCAACCAAACCAAACCAAAATGAAAGCCCAGCTTGTCTTCAGAGTTGCTGCATGCCGTTCCTCCCTCTAATTCTCCACCCACAGTAGTGTGTTTTTTATTAGCTTTGTATGACTAAACTTTCAATAGCTTCACCATTTTAAAAGCAATGAACACTTTCCAGCTTTTATCTCCTCTGGTTTATTTTTTTTTTTAAGAATTATTTGTTTTTATTTTACATGTTTAAGTGTTTTGTCTGCATGTGTGTATGTGCTCTGTGTGTGTGCAGTACCCCTGGAAGCCAGATGAGGGTGCTGGGATTCTCTGGAGCTAGAGTTACAGGCAGTTGTGAGCTGTCTGTTGAAGGTGCTGAGAACTGAACTCTAGCCTCTGCCAAAGCAGCAAGCTGTTTCTCCAGTCCCTCCTCCGACTCCTTGATAGAATCTGATACTTTTGCTAATTCCCTGTCCCCAAATGTTGGCTTCCCCAGTCTCCATTTTTTGAGTTTTCCTCCTTGTCTGACTACTCTTGTTTATTCTTTTAAACTGGCCATCCAGCCGTATTTGTGCTAACATTTCTCAATATTTCCCCTCAGTCTTCCACTTTCAGTATTCTGTGTGATCTCATCAACGCCAAAAGCGTTTGGACATGGACCTTCGGATATCTCCACTAGAATTTCTCATTTTAGGTGCTATTGACATTTTGGGTTAGAGAATTCTTTGCTGTGTGGGTGAGGTTGTCCTGAGCCCTGCAGGGTTTTTGGTATCATCTTTTGCCTCTACCCACTATATGCCAGAAACTCTACCCTCTACTCTGCTGTAACAACAACAGCAGCAACAGCAACAACAACACAACAACAACATAGAAACAGCAACAACAGCAACAGCACAACAACAACAACATCTCCAGTTATTAGCAAGTATCCCCAGAGGGGACAAGTGTCATTACAAACTTGGAAGGAATTGCTCTAGACTTCTATTAACTGCCGGTCTGATGTATGTCAAGGGCACTTAAATTTAACATGTCTACGACCAAATTTAAGATTGAGGCTCTCACCAACAGTGACTGAAAGGCAAGATAAAGCTGACTCATTCTTTTCATTCACAAGTCTCAGTCACACCGGCTTCCTTTCCAGACCCTGTGCGGCCATGTCCAGGCTGCTCTGCCACTATGCTTCCTCACTTTTCCTGCAGTTAACTCCTTCGCATTATTCTGGAAATTTCCAAGTCCAGGTAGAAGGTTCTTGGTATGAGTTCACGGTCTGTCAGCCTTGCAGGCACAGTCGTGTTTACTGTGTGGCTCCTTGGCTAACGTGCCCTCATGAGACTGTAAGCATCACAGAAACAAACCGTGTGTCTGTTTTTGTTGTCGTTCAACACCTTCCCCTCCAGCTTAGTTTGTAACCCGTGCTGGGCACATCGCCTTTGGACACATGGAGCTGTAAGCCAACAGGTGATGATGGTCCAGCAACAAAGGGGAAAACCGTTGGATGAAACTAGGTGAGTCGGCACTAAGGCGAGGTGTGTGTGCCCTGAAGGGACCCTGTGGGTGGTGCTGGGCGCTGCTAGTCAGAGCACAGAGGATGGTGAATGGGCCAGGGGAAGGAAATACACTGAAGAGTTGGGGGTTCAGGTTCTATTTTTGAAGCGGGCAGTGTAAGCATCTGAGTTAACTTACTCATTAAGCTTGATAGCTTCCAGGTGAAGAAGACTAGACTAGCCCTCCCCCAGGATAGGCCTCTTCCACTTAGACTGTTTTGAGCTGTTTCATTGTCAGCTGAGGTTTTCAGGAAAACGAGAAGCCACACCTGTGTTCTACAAGCTGATTAAAACGGTGATTACGGAGGGTTGGAATGCTGCCAGATCATCTTCCGCTATCTTTAGTTCTCTGTGTCTGACCTAACATCCTCTGATTTTTTTTTTTTTAGGCAAATACTTTGGGGCGTATTAACAGATCTCTTATTCCACTGAAAGCTAAGAATGCTATCAGATAACATCGGAAGCCTGTAGCAGATGAAGAAGAATATTTGTTTTTCTGTGCTGTACCCTGCCCACCTGAGTACAGTGAAAATTCCTGATAACCCTTGCTGACCTCACCTGTGGACATCACGTCCCCTCTTTCCTTTTGAACCCTCCTCCCCTTCCTTTTGTTTTATTGAAAACCATATTTGAGCTCGAAGTCCTCACCACTCCTTAGGCTATACTTGTTAAATTCCATTTTTTGCTTGCTAATCTGTCTTTTGCGAAAGGGCTTATTCCAGCTGAGAACTATGAAGGGCAGGCAGGCCTCTCTCTGTAGGAGAGTGCTTCTCTCCTACACTAACAAGGAGGCTGCTTCACACTAGGAAAACCAGGTGCCAGCCCCAGATTTATTGATGTCTCACTTAGGGGAATCATCTCACCCACAGCAATGCCCGTGGCACGTTTCTGGCTTCGTGGCTTTACTTTGGAAAGGTCTGAGGCCCCGTAGGATGCTTGGTGGGGGTGGAGTGGAGGAGCACGTGTGTGAATGTGTACCAGTCATGCTCTGGTGTAGAGCTAAGTGGAGCGAGTGGTGTGCAGCTAATTGCAAACACAGGCAAAGTGTGATTACTAAAATTATATGGTGCGTTAAAATCAGTCCTCTTTATTGATAATAAGAGGGAGAAGGGGGCGGGGTGAACAATTTTACATTTAAACTTCCGACCTGATGAAATGTTGAGGGCTCATTCATTCTCTTTCTCTTAAAGCGTATTTATTGGGGCTGCAGAGATCAGCTGTAACATTTCCCCCTTCTGAAATGTATTAAGAGTTTTTAAAATGTTCTTATAAACTATATAGCAAAGGACTGCTCTGGATGTGGGTTTCGAGGTTTTCTTCTTTCTGTGACTCTTGTTGGCAAGGGAGTGTGCTAATCCAGAGAAGGATTGTAGGCCCCAGAAGGATTCTCGAGAGTTTGTAGGCAGAGAGTGAAATCCTGAGTGAATGTATCTTGTTGACAAGGCACGGCCATGCTGAGGACCCCGCGTGTGTTGGATCCTGGGACTGGGCAAAGCCTTCCTGAGGAAGGCTCAGAGGAAGTGCAAAGCATCCTGGGGTCTGACTGAGTGCTGAGGGTGGTGCAGGAAAGTTCCTGAAGCTTTCTTTCTCTACCAGCTACTGCCTGAGGACTGCCCCTTAGAGAGACTGCTCATGCAGGGAGGGCCTGAAGCTGCCTCTCTGCTCGTGTGTATAACAAACGGGGGCTGCAGCTTTGCCCTCCAAGTTTCCTGTGTCCTCAGGGCTTTCATTTCTCCATCCCTCCCCTGCTCCAGTTAG